TGAAATCAGTACTTTTCGTCGTTGATCAAGTCAAAGCATAAATAAAACTTTTTCATCGTACGTAGCCATCGTGTGGTGGCTAATGTAGTATGATATGATTTTTCCATTTTCCAATTGTTAAAAAATCAGGTTAAAGCTACAATGCAAATTGCAAGAACGTCTAACCTGCCAAGTGTCCAGCATCACTTATATAGAGCGTCTAGAAGGGGTAAAATGGAAACTGGGATTGGCCTGTGTTTGCTCTGAGAAAATGGGATTTAAGTCACTGGGGCTAGTATTTGGTCACTGGGAATGGGAAAAAATATCATAAATGAGAATAGGATGAATATTTTGTAACCATGACTGGGTCCCTATTCCCTGGGGTTGAGAAACGTCAGAAATTTGTTTAAGCACCTTGTGCGTGTCAATTATTTTGAGTATGTTGATCCAGGGCTAGCATGTGCTGATCGCATGTGCTATTTTGCGCCGAAGGGCCTGGATTTGCGATCAACGATATTTGTGTAGAGCAATGCGCGCAACCTCCAGACAACGATAAGCTTAATACAATGGACAGGTGTGAAAGCTAGTGAAACGGTCTTGAAACCAGCCGAGTCAATTTGAATTCAACTGAAAGGCGCAGAAAGAATTCCAAGCGAAAGTAATGAGCCACCTAATTCAAATAAGGATGTCAGTTTACCTCCAGCGTCTCCTAACGACGAATGGGTAGACAGCTTTAGTGCGAGTGACATTGACAGTGATTCTAAAGAAGAGTTAGACAGCCGGCACAACACTGAGCAGGATGCGTCCGACCAAGCTGGGAAGAATAAGAACACTTACAAGTCGGATGACAGATTCCCTGCAGGCAGGACTGTGAAATGGCAGGAACTTGTAACATAAATAATCGCTATAACTTCCCTACTTTAACGTTTTAGTGAATAAAGGATGTTATCATCTTCAGAAAATCTTCGTAAATCCTCGTAAATTTTTGGGTCTTTGTTGGGTAGTTTATTGAGAAGCCGAAATTTTGCGGATGTGAGGAGAAAAGAGCTGGTATGTATAACACTAAAAATTTTTCTTAATCTTGCTTGTGCGAATGGATCATAGTCCACGCAGCTCTGGTCCTCTCTCTGTCACGCAACGCAATGCTACGCTTTCGTAGCGTTGTGTGGCAGAGAAGGTCCAGAACTGGACGAATGGGATCAGAGAATTGGGAAGTGGGATTTGGAAAACAAATGGACCGGGAAATGAGATTGGTACCCCGTTGAGGACCCTCTATATACCATCAAGAGATCATAGTCTTTTCATACCATTCACCTGTCTAACAAAGCCCGCGTTTCTTCCTCAGTTTTTGAACTTTACAATTAGGAAATCAAATCGGTGCTGCCTGCTGCTTTGGGACTTTTATCAGCAACTTGATCCCGAGGGCGGGGAAAACCGCGGTTTTTATAGTACCAGGTGAATGTTGGATTCCCGATCTTGAACCGGGCATGGGAAAGAGGGTCTCAACAGCCTTTGCAGGGTTAATTTTGCATTTGCTTTACAAAATGGCCTGGTACTGCCTTTCATCCACGTTGGATTCATGGTAATGCAAATGAGAGAAGGTAATCGCGAATAGGGTTATTTTCTGGAAAGAGCATAACGAGACATTGAACATGAATTTTTCGTGATTTCGTCAAAATGAATTTCTTTAAACTATATGCAGACTGCTTGATTTTCTTTCGTCTTTCTCTGTTAACGATGTCAGTTGAACTCAAGTTTCCAGCCTTTCGCGTTTGTCACAAATTAAACGCGAAAGGCGTGTGTGTTAGCCTTTCGTTCAACGCTGTTCAAGCAAATTTGCGGGAGTTCTCTATTGTCGGACTAACTAAGGACTAACTCAGCCTACATAATTGCAAAGGGCGCGAAATTGTAGTCCACGCGACAGCCGACGCACAGCTATTGATAGTGTTAAGAGAAACGAGGTAAGTTGCCCGTGACAACACCGTAATTTTAAGGCTAAAACAAACTTCCGTCGTGCGTTACTCAACTGATAATCGTAGTAAGTGGAGATGTTCAATTCACTAATATATTTGGTGTTGGTCAGATAGCAATTATTAGCCTGTTCCGTGTCCTGGACAGGAAGACACGAGGCTGTCAGTTTACTAAGAAATTCAGTAACCGTCGCGTCGAATCGATCGGGCAGATCGACGTTTTGAGCCTTAACACTCTGTCCGAGTACTAGCCTGTGTCATAGCCGCCTTTCCCCGGGAAAAAAAATTAGGTCAAGTTCACCTGTGAAGTCTCTCAGTTTGATGGATAGATGGAAGGGTGGTTGGATGGATAGGTGAACACGTGACTACACTAGCTACCTAAAATATACATTTCCTCTTTCAGAAGACACAGCTGAAAGGTTACACAACCGCAATACATGTCCGCGCTTGTCACCCATAGCAAAGTCACGTTGGCACGTTCGCAAAACTTCAATTCACATAAAAGTTATCTTGTTTTTGTGTTTCAGTCCTTTTACAAATAACGCTCTGCAGGAAAATTATATCACTAAGATACTGATTCATCAACACCTCTCGCACGCAAACTGCAAAACGCACCTTATATTATCTAGGAACGTGTTTCTTGTTCTTAGGTTACGCAATATGACAACCATTGTAATAATACATGTATTCCCATCTAAGCGCGAAAAACAGAAATGCATCCCTCTCGTTCAACAACAACAACAACAGCAAAACGAGAAACGTTGCAAGGAGGAAGTCAAAGTGACATGTTTTGTTAAGCAAACGCCTGAATTTGGTCAATATAAGAGAGACAGTTTAAGTTGTACGTGCGCGTGGAGTAAACATGCCTTGCCAAAGTTACGTGAACGTTTAATGCGCCATTGTCACTTGCTGATTATCTCCACTGGTTAGTTTATCCATCCTGTTCGCAGAATGTCTTTGTCATTTTAAACTACGAGCATTGACACCGCAGCTGCGGAGATCCCAGGAAACACTGACACTAGCAGCAGGGTGACCTGCAGCAGATTTGCGTCATACGGAGGGTTCCTAGTGTAGCAACTGTGACAACTATGCAATCCTGAAACCGCAGTTTAACGCTGGCCACTTAACAAACTTAAGCCTCTAGGCTCCATGCCAAAGAGGCTTCATTTTCCCTACTTCATAGTTTGCATGTTACAATAACAACACCAACAGCATCATCGTTATTTTCTCAATATAAATATGAGTATTTAACATTCGTAGCATATTTAATATATGTAGCAAGTTACAGATAGAACGGTTTCAGTTCAATTGAGTGTCGTAAAACCAAAACCAAAACCAAAACCAGTTACTTACCAATTAGACTTCTCAGCTAATCTCAAACTGTAGTAAAACCAAAACCAAAACCAAAGTAATTGTCTAATTACTTTCGACGCTCAA